CGCCCGGCCATCTCAGTGTAATTATTAATAGCGCTTCCTTTCATTCAGAAGGCTCCTAATTTAGGTGATAAATTATTTGGCCACCCTATACATGTGGATGGAGAGCCACTGAATGTTTTGTGAGCTGAGAAATGATTTAATCAAACTCCTAATATCTTAGAACGTTCACTATCTACTTCTTAGCTACCTTTCCAAGCTTAGTACATATTACTTCCTTACTTGTAGCTTTCTCTGGATCTAAGTAAACTGCCTGCCATTCACTGTGAGTGACCCATATTTTGCCACCTTAAAACCTTTGCCCATTCTCCTTTCCAACATCAGAATGTTCTACCATCTCTGCCTAAAGTCCTCCTGCCTCAAGCAATAGCCAAAATGCTATGTAAAAACTAAGTTCTTTACTGTCTTTAAGGGACAGATGGGTGTGGAAGAATCAATGAAATCAAGAAAGGGCAAAGGAACTATTAGAGACACTGGCAAAAATGGGAAGCAAAGAAGTTAGTGACATCAAATACAGCTGCAGCGAGGCCACTGCTGGCTTTGGTGACAAGGAGCCAACTGTTGACAGCATGAGCAGCCTGCAGTGGAGCAGTGGTGTCAGAGAGCCCGTGGCCAGTGCTTAAAGCAGAGCAGAGCCTAATTCCAGGATTCATAAACGGCATGACCTTGGACAAGTTAGAAGTTTCTTCTGAAAAATCTCTCAGGGTATGTAAAGATCAAATGAGATAAAATGCACAAAGTAAGCCTGGTTCCTGTTATTATTGAGAAGTGAATGGGACAAGAAGTTAATAGATGGGATAGTGAGGAGAAATTCCTCTTTCAGAAAGTTTGAAATGGAATGAGGGAAGTGAGACTTTCTTCTCAAAGAAGTGTGAGGCTTGAGTATGATGATAAACTGAAGGGAAGGAGCTAGTGGAAAGGGAGAGGTTAAATAAAATAGAAAGAAGGAATTAAATAAAAGGAACGGACAAAGCCTCCAGAGGAGCTTGGACTGAGACAGCATCTCTCCCTCTAAGCTTAGAGGAAAGGAGGGCCAGCAAATCTGTGGAGGTGGCCGGAATATGGCTCCAAAAGTGAAGGGGTGTAGAGAAATTTTGAGGAGCAGAGCAAGCATTAACTGTGGGGAATGGATCAAGTTAAAAGGTTGCTAAAGAGAGCAAGAACTCAGTTGTAATTGAAAAGCAAACATTCATGAAGCAGTGCCACTCTGTGCTGATTTCCAACCTCTCACCCACCGCTAGCAAAGCTCAGCTTCAAGAACATGAAATGACTGGAGATTAAGGACCTGTAGGATAGGGATGAAAAAGGACAAGGAAAACGGGACTTTGAGAGTACTAGTGAGAGTGGCCAAAGTGATCTGATCAGAAGTTCAGGCTGAGGCTGAGTGAGGTGGCTCAAGCCTGTAATCCTAGCACTCTGGGAGGCCAAGCCAGGAGGATCACTTGAGCTCAGGAGTTCAGGACCAGCCTCCTGCTCAAGAGCGAGACATCATCTCTATTGAAGACAGAAAATTAGCCAGGTGTAGTGACGTGTGCCTGTAGTCCCAGCTACTCAGGAGGCAGAAGCAGGAGGATCGCCTGAGCCCAGGAGTTTGAGCTGCAGTGAGCTATGATGACACCACTGCACTCTACCTGGAGTGATAGTGTATAGAGGTGGGGTGGTGATCAAAGGTAGGCTTCTGACAGAATAGAGCTGGCAGAATAGGTTAGGGGCAGTGGCACAGGCCTGTAGTACCAGTTACTCAGGAGGCTGAGTTGTGTAGATTGCTTGACTCCAAGAGTTCAAGTCTGGCCTGGGAAACATAGCGAGACCCCGTCTCTAAAAGAAAAAGGAGAACTGGGAGAATAGGGAAAATGTCTGGAAGCCAAAAAGCAGAAAAGGGTGACAGAGGTAAAAGGTGGACCGAAATTGTACCAGCAAAGTGGAGGAGGATATGGAGTTCAAGAATTCAAGAAAAGTCAGGTCTGGCTCTGGCATGGACAGAGGAAGAAAAACAGAGGTGAAATATGTTGGAAGCCAGGCTAGAGGGTACACTGTACACAAGGAAGGACAGTGTCATCACCTGGAAGAGTGGAAGGCATTGCTGTAGAAAGCAAGACTGTGAATCAAGTGGCAAAGTCCTTACTGAAGATGACTGTTGGCAGGTGAGAGCTATTCAGCAGTGGTATGATAAACTGTGATAGTGCACTTCTCCGTAAACGTGAATCAGGCCTGCGTATCCTGTCAAGACAACAAAGAACCCAACCTTGCTAAGAGAGCACTATGAATTTCAGACAATGCACTTCTTAAGGGAAAAACTTAAGGTGAAAAGTGCACCAAGCTTTTTGGAAAAAAAGGGAAGTATAATCATATTGCAAGTCGTTGGACTACAGCCTTTATATTTTAAAATAGCTTCACAGGTTATATTCTTCTTCATGTACTACTTGAATGAGGAATGGTAAAGGATGGCATGGGGTAAGCCTTGAAAGAAAAAGGATTGTTTGCGTAAGAATGGCACCAATTTGCTGTTGTAAAATTTGTCCCAAGAGAAATAATCTAATAACAGAAATGGAGAAACTCTGCTTCAGAAGAGAACAAGAGATATTTATATTTCTTCAAAGTTGTGGTTTCTAAGAACCTTAAAACAAGCTAGGAGTGAGTCATCAGAAACAAAATTAACTATTTTTTGGTGGTGGTGGTTGTTAAGTAGAGGCAAAAATGCCCAACTAAGAATAAAAGTTACTTAGCTACAAACAGATACCTGAGCCCTGAAAACAGGTTATACAACACCATGAACACACTATTAAGACATGTGAAGAGCAAAGGTCAAGAACAAGGAAACATATACACGTCAGCAGATTTATTTATTGCATGAACACCAAACAGGAAAAGTCCCCATGCAGATTAGAAAAGTGATCTACTCAAGTAACATGGAAATCTGTGGAAAGGATGTAATGGAACAGAACTTCTCAGATTACAAATAACTTCTTAAAGCCTTGTCCCAGTAAACTTATATGGATGAATCCATATACATGAACTGTCCAGAACAGGCAGATCTTTAGATTAAACAGATTATTGGTTGTCAGACTGGGAGAAGGGAAAATGAGGAGTGATTGCTAATGGGTACTGGGTTTTTTTCTGGGGTGATCAAATGTTCTGGAATTAGATAGTAGTGATGGTTGCACAACATTGTGACTATATTAAAAATACTGAATTGTACACTTTAAAAGGGTAAATTTTATGGTACATCAACTATATCTCAAAAAAGCCATTAT